CTGTCGGGATCCACCCGAGCACAGGGGTCTGCGTTCCCTGCACAGGGTTCCGCACCCCCTGCTTCTCTGTTCCAGCCACCACGAGGTCGGGGACTTGATCCCTCTGCCCCTGGTGGATCTCGGAAACCGGGGGAGCCGTCGAGGTTACAGGCCTCCAAGGAGGAGCCCCTTTTAGCTCCAGCTGAGCCAATGGACGAGAGTGGGTCAAGGTCCGACGAGGACAGACCCCACTCGAGCTCCGAATCTCTACTTCCGGCCTCCGGTGGCACCACGGGCAGGCCGAATGACACCTCCAAAAAGAAAAATGCTCCGCGTGTAAAGATAGATTTTAAGTCTTAAAAAATTTGCTTACTCTTGACAGTTATTTTTAATTTTATTTTTTATTATATAAACGTTACAATGGTCCACAATTTTAGCATGATGCAGTGGAATTGTCGCGGCCCTTTTCGTAACATTGATGACATACATTTTTTTCTTGATGAGCTCCGTCCTGTTGCCTTGTGCCTACAGGAGACTTACCTGAGTGACACCCACACAAAAGTGCTACATCGTCATCAGGTTTTCCGAAAGGACCGCATTTCATCAAACCCTTCGGGTGGTGTAGCAGTGGTAGTGCAGAGTGGAGTTGCCTGTGCTCCAGTCCCTCTACAGACTCCACTTGAGGCAGTTGCAGTTCGAATTCTTCTTGACCGCCTGATTACCCTTGTATCGCTCTACTTGCCACCCAACACTCCGCTGCATTTGCAAGAACTTCAGGGACTCGTCGGCCAGCTGCCCGAGCCTTTTTTAATTCTTGGCGATTTTAATTCCCACCACCCCCTGTGGGGTAGTCATCGACAGGACTCTCGTGGTGGAGTCATTGAGCGACTTTTATTATCATCCGGGTTATGTCTTTTGAACCAAAAAGAAGCAACATTTTTTAGTGCCGCCCATAACACTTTTACAGCTATTGATTTGTCCTTATCGTCACCATCGTTACTTCCATGTTTTTCATGGCAAGTTTTAAACAATCCTTTGGGCAGCGATCATTTTCCAATTGTTTTAGAAAGCGTTAAACCGATTCCATCGATTCCGACTCGCCTTCCGAGGTGGAAGTTGGAGAATGCCGACGGGTCTATTTTTGAATTAGAGGCTGTGATTGATCCATCTTTGCTTCGTACTATGAGCCCCGACAATGCGACAGTTTATTCACTGAATGTATAATTGGTGCGGCTTCGAATTCTATTCCTCAAACATCTGGACATCTTCCTAAGAGGTGCAAACCTTGGTGGACTAAGGAGTGCACAACCACTCGCAAGGACCAGAATAAAGCCTGGGGAGTTTTTCGTCGGTACCCTATTAATCAAAACCTAATTGCATTCAAGAAAAGTAGGGCTAAGGCGAATCGGACACGAAAACAGGCTAAAAGGGTCTCATGGACCAAATATGCCTCTTCTATAAATAGCCTTGTTCCAGCGAAGGAAGTGTGGGACCGCCTGCGAAAAGTCCGAGGCGACTATCAACCTTTCCGAATCCCTCTTTTTCCCTTGCCTGCCGTATCTCTCAAAGATCAGGCCAAAGTTCTTGGTATGCACTTCCAACATATATCTATTTCTTCCAACTTTAGTGTAAAGTTTAAGAAGTTTCAGTCTACTGTTGAAAAGCAATCGATCTCGATGTCAGGATATGACCGGGCAGCTTATGTGCGAACTGGAAGTGGCGCTGGGTGTAAAAAAGCAGTCTGCACCAGGTCCAGACAGGATTCATTACGAAATGCTGAGGCACTTGTCCCCAGCATCATTAAGTTATTTGATTATGTTTTTTAATCATCTATGGAGAGTAGCTGCTTTCCCTCGATGCTGGAAAAGCGCCCACATTATTCCTCTTCTGAAGCCTGGTAAAGGCCCCTCTCTTCCAGCGAGTTACCGTCCCATTGCGCTCACTAGTTGATTTGGGAAGACTTATGAAAGGCTCATCAACCGGCGTCTGGTCTATTTTCTGGAGGAAGAAAATATTTTGGACATTAATCAGTGTGGATTTCGGGAGGGACGATCAACCACATACCATTTGGTTCGTTTGGAGACTTTTATCCGTGAGGCATTTGTACATCGGCAGCATTGTGTCTCGGTATTCTTCGATCTGCAAAAGGCCTATGATACCACATGGAGGTATGGAATTCTTCGGGATCTGCGCAACTATGGGGTACGAGGCCGCATGCTCCAGTGTATACAGAATTTTTTAAGCGACCGGACTTTTCAGGTCCGCTTGGGTTCTACACTGTCCGATGTGTTCCCCCAGGAAAATGGAGTCCCTCAGGGAGGAGTTTTAAGTGTTACTCTGTTTGCTGTAAAAATTAACAGTCTTGCAAGTGTCATACCACCGTCTGTGTTTTACTTATTGTATGTGGAAGATGTGCAGATCTCCGTTTCTTCTTGCAACCTCTCCAGCTGTGAACGACAACTACAACTTACAGTCAATAGGATGAGCAAATGGGCAGATGAAAACGGTTTCACTTTTTCTCCCGAAAAAACTGTCTGCGTTCCCTTTTCGTTCCGCCGGGGATTGTCCCTTGATCCTTCTTTGCATTTAAACCACATTGACATACCTGTTCGCCAGGAACACAAATTTCTGGGCATAATTCTTGACAAGAAGCTCACTTTTGTACCTCATTTGAAGGAATTGAAGCGCAAATGCTTAAAATCATCAAACATTCTCAAGGTGTTGTCCCACAACTCGTGGGGGTCCGACAGGCGCTGCCTCCTGCGACTCTACAATTCCTTAGTTCGGTCTCGCCTGGACTATGGTGCAATTGTGTATGGATCTGCACGTCCATCTACACTAAAGATGCTGGATCCGGTTCATCACCTGGGGCTCCGACTGGCTACAGGTGCTTTTCGCACATCACCTGTGTTGAGTTTGTATGCAGAAACCTTTCAGATGTCTCTCGAGAAGCGTAGACAGTACCTTAGCCTTTCTTATGCTTGCAGGGTCTATTCTGACCCGCAACATCCATCTTACACTACCATCCGTACCTGTCGATTCTCTCAACTTTTTGAAAACAAGCCACGTATTGTGCGTCCTATTAACTTCCGCATTCAAAGCCTTTGTGCCTCCCTCCAGTTTCCACTGAATGATGCTGTCATACTAAAGCACAAAGAAAAAGTTTCTCCGTTGGACGAATTGCCGATTTTCTGCGACTGGTCGCTCACAAAGTATGATAAACGGGCTATTTTCCCTCAAGCCCTGCAGCAGGAGTTTCAGTCGTTGCAGGAGACATATAGAGATTATACTGAATTCTATACTGATGGGTCGAAATCTTCATCTTTTGTTGGTTGTGCCGTATATTCTGGTTCCTTTGAGAAAGCTTTGCGAATGGATGGTATGGCAAGCATTTTCTCTGCGGAGCTTTATGGTGTCTCTAGCCATTGAACATATCATGAGTAACAAAATATTAAAGGCTATCCTTTTTATTGATTCACAAAGCGTGATACAGGCTGTCTCTTCTAGACTTCCCACAAAGAACCTTCTTGTACTACATATACGGTTCAAAATAAACCGGGCTCTCAAACTCGGACACACCATAATATTCTGCTGGGTGCCCAGTCATGTCGGAATTCCAGGGAATGAGCAAGCAGATAAACTGGCTGCAGGTGCAAAGGACTCGGCAACATATCTTGGGTTACCCTATCAGGACCTTAGGCCCCTTTGGAAGAAATCACTTCTGAAGGCATGGCAGTCCGAGTGGGACGCGGAGTTTAACAATAAACTTCATGTCATTAAGTTCATCTTGGCTCAGTGGGAGAGCTCATTCCAAAAGGAACGTCGACTGGAGGTTCTATTATGCCGCCTGAGGATTGGCCATTCACGTCTGACTCATCTACATCTTCTTTGTGGCGAAGACGAAAAGCTCTGTGCTCATTGTGGAGAAGTACTGACAGTTTTGCACATTCTATGGCATTGTAAATTTCATCACCAACATCGCCGACAAAGTTTTGCTGAACTTTTTAAAGATCACCTTCCATTTCATCCTATGTTTTTGCTTGGTGATCATCCTTTAGTGCCCTTTAACCGTGTTTTTGACTATCTTAAAAAGATCGGATATATACATCAGCTGTAACTTTTACCATGAAAACTTTAATATCTCTTTCCTAGTATAGCCGTCTTAAGTAATTTTGTCTGGCGCAATATAGCCAAAGTCGCTCTTGCGCCATTAAACCCCAATCATCATCATCATCATCATCAAATTCATTGAAGAAACGAATGAGTGCAAACATAGTGTTTGAAAACAACAAGCTTAGAACAGCAGAGTACAAACGAGAAGCATCCAGCCCAGCCTAGCCCCCCGAGCCAGATTGGATTAGTTTGGATTGTAATTGTAATTGTAATTGTAATTGTAATTTATTTGCACAAGTATGATCTATATGCGACGACGTGCGAGGCTAGGCAGAAAGGTAAGAACCCTTACGCTTGTGCGCCTGTTAGCCGGTCGCCGCATACACCGTGGATAAGGGGAAAGGAAAAGGGATTGTGCCGTAGATTAATTTAATCTACAACTACTGAAAAACGTCGCGTAGTTTGCGTTGTTTTATTGACATATGGTTCATAAACTTAATCTTCAATAAAATGTTTCACTTTAAACTAAACCTCAAAATATAAGACCAACTTATTTGCTTTGAAAACAATAGTGACATTAGTAGCCAACGCGAGCCAATCCATAAGTTGTTAGGGTTAGCTATCCCTGGCTATCCCAAAACATCGTGAGCGCCGGTGGTGGTGGTGTGAAAGTGCTGGTTCTGCTTCGTGTGCCTATGTAAGCAAACTATGAACCCAAGTAACTACAAATCGCGAAAGCGCTACCTGGAACCAGACGCTTGGCGCGAACATCTGCCACGAGCAACGGTACACGATCTGAAACAAAGAGCACTCGCGGCTTCACCGTCTACTTCTCCCCAAGCTAGCTGCTCTACAGCTGCAGCGTTCAGTTCAGCCATTACAGCTAATGATGTGTCAAATGACTACAGTGAAGACGAACTGGACGGTAATCCAGTTGCACCAGACAACAGAGTGGTAGGCGACAATAGCGAAGATGAGTTCGATGAACCTCTAGCTGCAGCAGACAATGGAGTGTCAGACAACAGTCTCGACGAGCTCGATGAAAATCTTAATAATGGTCCTGTTCCCGCAACCGAAGAAGACGTGCCCCCCTCTGCTGCAGAATCTCCACCTCCATTTGATGGAAATAGTTCCCCTTTCCGCTTGGAGTTCACGACTCTTCTTGGGAATGGGAGCTCAATGTCAGTCGGGGATGCTCTTGTTCTTCTTATGGACATCTCCACAAAGCACTGTTTCTCATGGGCAGCGATAGAAGACGTCTTGAAATTCAGTAACGTTCTGCTGGGAAGAGACGCCCTTCCAGAAAGCAAGTATCTATTTCGCATGTTTGCTGGAGCGACGCCTGTAGTCATGCATTTTCACTTTTATTGCCCTACCTGCGAGCATCCACTAGTGAAGACGACAGGAAAGGTAGCAGAGCGCAACAACGTGTCAACAACATGTGCAGTCTGCGGAAAGAAGTACAGCGGCAAAGACCTTGTATCACAAGGCAACTTCTTTGTTAGCTTGCCCCTTGAAAAGCAGTTTGCTTCCATCCTTGCAATTGATGGTGTGAGAAACCAGCTGCTTCAGTCACTGGAGCACAGAACAGAGCCACAGAATAGAATGTCGGACATCACAGATGGTGCCTTCTACAAGGACCAGCGGCAAAGGCTTCATTGTAAAGACCAAGATCTCACGCTGACCATGAGTGCTGACGGGTGCCCCGTATTCAAGTCATCCACTTACTGTATTTGGCCTGTGCATGTTGTGCTCAATGAACTGCCTCCATATCTTCGCTGGAGCAACATGATGACGTCCCTTCTCTGGTATGGCTCGAAACATCCAAATATGACTCTGCTGCTTCAGGCTTTTGCTGAACAAATGAAAAGGCTCTCAGCAGATGAAATTACATGGAACGCAGGCGGTCGGGAGCTCCATTCAAAGGTAAACCTTAGCTACATTGTTTTGTATGAGTGATCTTTACTACCAACAGCTTTTACATTTTTTTTTTATTTTCGAAAACATGTTTTGTAGACGCATGTATGATTCTTGCTCTTGTAACTGCTGTAGCTGGGATGTTTCCCTCCTTGCCATCATGTGGCTTGTTTAGCAGTAGGTACTGTAAACGACCATTTCCGCAAGCTCAATGTTTTGCGAAACTCCCAAAGTGCTGATTGCAGGAATATTTTTCAGGCACAAATTTTCGCGTTTCGGAGCATTCACTACCATGTTGTGGTAGTAAATGCTACGAATTCACTACCACGACATGAATTACTGTAAACGACTTATATTCGCGGACTTAATATTTCGCGGTTTAGGTCAAAGCTGAAGTTTTGCAATAATTCGCGGATTCTAATTTTCGCGACTCGGTGGATCTTAATATACATTCCAACGTGTTTGCGTGTTACCGGAACTGTTTGCGGGGCCTATTTTTCGCGAATTGTAGGCGATTCACGAAATTCACAAAAATTAGGTTTTCACGAAAATTAAGTCGTGTGCAGTATTTGAAGGACCAATTGTTTGTGAATATTTTTGAAGCGCTAAATAAGCGTTTCGAAACTAAAGGGGCGGTAAGATATTAACGTTGATAGAATTTGCAGGGTGTATTTTTTATTGTTTACTTGGCCCAAATTAGAGAAAACATGCCAACTTGAAGTACTCCTATTCTGCTGCATAATTGCAAAGAAAAAGTGCATTATCTCCCGACCTGGGGCCACATGTGGCAGTCACAGAATCGGCGGCGTGACATCATTCAATGTGGGCTTTTGTAAGTGAGCGAGTTAAGCAATTTTGTACTTATAAGGTTAAGTTTTAAAAATATTGTCGTTTAGGCGTGGGCAAATAAATGTCTCAAAAGCCTAACATTTGTGACTAAAGTTCATTAAATATATGTGGTGCCATATACCGAAGTAAACGAAACCATTCCCTCTTCGCCCTCAAAGTCAGTGGCCACCTGAATTTGTTCAGACAGAACCCGACCGGAAACCGGGTGCCACTCTGAATGGCGTTGCATGCAAGTGTCTCAAAGATGGTGTTCAGTGAATGTTGATTTGAGTGAAACGAGAAATTTCGATTTCTTTCATTTTTTTTAAATAACAACTAGGGCACGCATGGAAGAATGATTTTCGGTTCTTCATTATAAGGTGACTGGAATCAATTCCCGCAATTAATCATTTAAAGTCCAAAAATCGTTGCACAACCCCCGTTTAAGTCGTTTACAGTATATAGTACACAAGGTATTCTTCCAAAATTCAAGTGAAGGCTGGTACATTTTAAGTGTCACTACCTAGCCAAGGTTTATAGGACTCTATTATCTGTTTCTTTTTGTATTATCTATTTTTGGGACAGTCATTTAGTTGAATTCCTTAAGAAACCATAAAGGTCTCATCCTTGGTCTTTCAAACGTAGGTCTACTGCATCACAAGCGTTGCCGATGCCCCAGCCAGGGCTTCGATGCAAAACGTGCTCCAATATAATGGGTATTATGGCTGCGGCTGGTGCCTTCATCCTGGACTTTGTGTTGAAGGCTCTGTCAAGTATCCAATGACGGTCGGCATGGTGAACGACGACAGAGACCATCCCTCAATGCTGGAAGACATGAAAACTGCTGCCATGACGAAGCGGACTGATAGAGTGAAGGGACCGTCTCCACTTTTAAATGTTCCTGGATTTGACATTGTATGGAGCTTTAGACCTGATCTCATGCATTGTGTTCTCCTTGGAGTTGTGCGTCAGCTATGCGATCTATGGTTCAGTGATGTCGGAAAAGGGTACTACATTGGAGTTCCTACCACAGTAGCAGAGGTGGACTGTAGGCTTCTACTCCAGAAGGCACATCAGTGTTTTAACCGTCCACCACGGTCGGTAAGAGTACGCAAATACTGGAAAGCTGTCGAATGGGAGTCGTGGCTTATCTATTACTCCCTGCCATGTCTCGGAGGCATTCTGCCAAGGCAGTACCTCGAGCATTTTGCTCTTTTAGCATCTGCCCTGTATGATCTCTTGAAGAGTGTAGTCTCGAAACAGCATGTGGATCGAAACACAGAAAAAATAACAAGGTTTGTTGTGATGACGCAATACCTCTATGGCGAAGGCCAAATGACATCGAATGTACACACATTGCTTCACATACCTAAAAGTGTTCTTCTTCACGGGCCACTTTGGACACTCTCGTGCTTTGAGTTCGAGAGCAATATGGGACAGCTGCTCAAACTTGTTTCTTCAGCAAAAGGTGTCCCATACCAGATCCTGTCTCGCATTTTTCTTCGAAGTAGCTTTCGCCAACTACAGTGTATGGCTTCGGAGGAAGTGCAGGAACTTTGCTCTCAAATGCCTAAAAAAAGAGATGGTGCAGTGAAGCTTCTCGGGAAAGCTAAGGCAGCACCGCAGGATGTCTCAGACCTGCTGCAACGCAACCTGGGAGCTGTGCACAGTGTTGAGGAGTTCAGCCGTGTACGCATCTGTGGATGCACAATCCACAGTGAGCAGTACAAAAGCCCTCTGAAACGGGATTCAACAGCTGTTACAATTGGAGACGACTATACAAAAGTTGAGCGTGTACTATGTATTCGGAAGCCTGATGGGACACAAGCGGTGTATATCCTCTCGCATGTGTACGACATTGACAACTTTCCCAATGTTGACCACCTGAAGTTTGCACGAAAGACTGGCTCTAAGCAATTCCACCCGCTCACTGAAGCTGCACGCCCGTGCATGCATTTGGAAGTGTTAAACAGGGTTGTGTTCGCCCAGTTGTGTGACCGCCATGGCTGGTCTTAGACATCGAAGGTTGTGTACAGTCGCCGACCGATTATTTTGACTTCGCAGGGACCGAAAAATCGTTCGAATAATAGAGCAGTCCGACAAATCAGCAGATTGAAAAAAATTGCCTTTATTACTTCCAAGTGGCCTTAAAAAAAGCCATAAATAGTGCCTTGCTTCAGTTACGCCTCCGTTTGCGTTTGGCAACTTTCTGTTAGCTTGAGAATCGCTGCCTTCTTTTCTAGCGTTATGGTCGAGTACTTTCTGCGCTTTTTAACGACACATCGTGGCGGCAGAAGAACAGAAGGGGTCACGTCGTCCAAGCCAGCATTGTCATAACGAGAAGAGAGGCGCAAATCCACGAGCGCAAAATGGCGACTGTTGACTCAAAAGTGGGGCTACAGTGGCTTAAAGAGGGCAGTGTAACGAACGAAACCGGAGAAGCGGCACACCGTTGGAAGACGGCCGCGGGTGGCGCTGGCTCTTGCAGCACCGTCGTTCCGGCTATGGCTCCGGCTCGGCCGCTTAGCCAGCTTGGCTCCGGCCGATTCGCAGCTGTCGACTAAACTGTCGTCTGCTAGTTTCACATTTTTATTCGCCTTCAAACACAAATAATTTCCTTGGAAGTTCACTGGAAACAAATGATTGCTTTTGAGGTATTTATATTAGTTACAAAGCATGTTAGGGTGCCTCTATCTGCCAGCCGATGGAGGCACCCTAACGGAGCTGCAGGTCGAAGCGCCACCTGCGCCGTCTTCCAAGGAGTGGCCGTTCCCGATGCATGGTGGAGGCTACGCGGTAACCACACTACCCCCTTTAAGCCACTGTAGTGGGGCGGAGGCGCGAAGTGATAGAAAGAAACAAAGCAAAATTTTAATGATAATGATGATGACGTGCAGCTAAATGGAAAGAAAGGGCTAGCATAGCGTCACCTAGCGGTAGAACTCAGGAGTGCCCAAGTAGCGCTGCCAAACCAAGCCAATCTATTTGCAGCCAGCAGAGAATTCAAAATGGCCGCTTCTCGGTGGTGTTTCCCGCTCATTGCTCACGACGATTTTGTCCAAATAAGTGAACTTTCGGACTTCAAGCTGTCCGAAACATTGGTCGTGAATATGCACTATTGGGCAAGTCACGGTTCCTCCTTTAGGTCCGAAATATCGAACAAGTCCGAATTATCGGAGTCCGAAAAAACGGCCGGCGACTGTACATGAACACATATTTTGGAGCGGAACTTGTTGCAAAATTTGTAGGTGCGTCAGAAATATGTGGAAGGCTGTTCCCTTTTATATTGTTACCAATGGTAGATATGTCATGTGCTAGTAATGTTAACATGCATCCCTTTTTTGAGTGCTGTACTGTGCTGGAAATGTTTGCTAAATATCATATCTAGCTGAAGTGTAAAAAAATGGTATATCCATTAAGGCTTTGCGATTGTATAAGTGGTTATAAAAAGGGAGCTGGTTATATTTGGACAATCCTTTTCAGTTTTAGGTAGTTATTGGCTGTGTTAACATTTTTTTTTTGTTTTGCTACTTCTGAAAAAACATTTTGCTCAAAAAATTTAAATATAAGCCCTGTAAATACTTTTTCTATGTATAAAAAGTCTATTCGCTGTTCCATAGTTTTTAAGTTTGTTCTAAATGTTAAATAGTAAAAGTCATATATTTTCATGGTCCCTTGTACAGAACATGAAGCATTTGCTTTGCTCATGTATGCCACATTCTGTGAAAGTAAAATGGTGCTTCATTGTATTTGTGAAGGCAGCTTTCTTGAAGTGTAAACTGAAGGCATAATTGCATATTGACCTTGAGAATCTCCTGAATTCTCATCTTTTAAGAATATTCTACGAAAGGCTGCCTCCTCTTTATTTTTCTTACTGTAATTAGCAATGTGCATAGACCAGATGATCATACTTCATACTGTACTCCTTTTTACCTCATTTAAGCCTCTGTGCTGTTGGGTTCTATTAAATAACAGTCTATAAATTTGTTGTATGGCCACTTTTAATAGAAGATTGTTTTTGGTAACACCGACATCTTTTTATAAAGGGAACTTAGTTTGGTGCTTGCAGTTGTTAAATAAGTGCAGTGAACTCAATTTTATCCAGTCTACCATATCACTCTCCCCTCGTTTACCGAATATTCAAGCAGTAAGGGCCTATCAATGGAAGTTTTGGCATGGGGTAATGTACATTATGTTTGTTAGAAGCTAGATGCAAATGATAATATGCTCACACCCTCTGTACCCAGCATGAGTCCAAAAATCATTAAATTAATTATATTTTGAATAGAAGTACAGGATCAAGAGGGATAACACCAGCTATTATCTAATTTATTGTGGGCATGAATGCATTAAGACTATTTGGGATTTTATACTAGTAGCAGTCTGGTTCAAGTGGCAATAGTACAACTTGACAATCAAATTTTACGAAATCACTTCAGTGAAGTCAGCTTGCAGCCAGACAGACACCAGTTGCAGTCCAAGTAGCACCGCTTGCAGCCCAACTGGCACCGCTTGCAGCCCAACTGGCACCGCTTGCAGCCCAAGTGGCACCGCTTGCAGCCCACGTGGAACCGCTTGCAGCTCAAGTGGCACCACTTACAGTCCAAGTGGCACCGCTTGCAGCCCAAGTGGCACCGCTTGCAGCCCACGTGGCACCGCTTGCAGCTCAAGTGGCACCACTTGCAGTCCTAGCGGTACCATTTCGAACTCAAGTGGTACCACTTGAAAGAAAGTGGTACCACTTGAAAGAAAGTGGTACCACTTGAAATACCCTAGCCGCGATAACAGGTGTGACAGAAACCCATCATTTAGAAATTCAGTTGTTTTAACCTTTCTTAATTGCACACTGGAAGTTAGCCCACTAACGATTTTCCCCAAATTTCCTCACAATTTTATGTGTGCTATCTCTCGGGATGTTACGGTACGTAAGACGAGTTGACTCAGCTCGTGATGGGATTTTGTAGACCCCCGAACTGTAGTGTGAAAAAAATTGACCATGGCTTATGGTTTATGTTTATTACCACTGCCACATACATTTACAGTAACTTTATCAAAACAACAGCATACAAATGTTAAACCGCCTCCCATTTGACACAAACTTCCCTGCCGTTGTACAAGTCCAGAGGATAGTGTAGGGTGTCGTCCTCCTTAGCCTCCACGAGTTTTCGGTGGCTAGACCTACCCACGTTGTAGCAGTACCTGTGTCTGTCATAACATCTCAACCAAGATTAGCTGTCTGCCTGAGGCAACATACAGAGCCTCAACTCTCCAAAATTCTGGCCCAACATTCTGTGCAGCTCTGACAAAAATCTCACCAGACCTGTAGCTGCGGTGGTCCACTGCTGCATGTGTCACCTGGTGTGCATCCAATGGTAGCACTCCCTGAGCACAGGCCGGCAGGGCACGCTGCTCGACCGGTTTGCCAGACGAAGCCATGAGTTGAGCGGCCATTGACATATCCTTGATCTGGTGGCTTTGCAGCAGTTGATGTCGTTTTGACGTCATTGTTGCATACCAAAAGTTTTTGATACGCGAGGCAAGGCTCTTGAGTTATTGGTGCTTGGCCTCAACCCGCTTAAACCAGAAGTGTGGCAGGGGTTGAAATTCACGGATGAACCTTGCGTAATGCACAAGGAACTGCAGCTTGAGATTTATAGCTGCAGTTTTGTATCGCCGTGCGAACTCCACGAGAAACGCCTGCACAGCCGTTTCCAGATGGGGAAGGTACCCACTGGGAATGACTGTGGCAAAGCAGATGTCTATAATTTCATGGAAATGAAGGTTTAATTCCCAGTCAGTATTCTCTTCTGGCACCAGGTCGCCAAGGATTATGCTCAGGAGCCTGAGAAGACACGACTTCTCAGTTGCCGTGCCTTTCATGCTTGCTTTGCGAGTCAAGAAGAACCTGTGAATCGCAACAGGTTTGTTTTTGTTGTCGTTCGCCCCATACTGAAATAAAGTGATGCGGTCAAATCACTGTATGACAATACATCATCCTTGATGAGCACATCTAGAACTGGCCAAAGCACACACTCAAAGCCTCCTTGAAAATGTCATGCATGAGGTTAGGGGGAAGTTGTCGCGTCACATCAAAATATGGCACTTCCAGCATGGGAGGGTGTTCATTCACGCCATATAGTTTATCGTTGGCCTTGGGGTGGAGAGCGACGGCCTGCAGGTACGCTCATGGGCTTGAGCTGTACCTAGGTTACAGAAGTCCTCTGTGGTTAGCTCTGACAGATGTTTAGAAGATGCCATACAGAAGCTGCACACCCTGCCTCGACTAAAGCAGCACGTGAATCCCCCAAGCCGGTTCATGGAAAGGTTGTCACCGCAAACACAAAACACGAAGATGAGGATAAGAACCAAGTTCACACTTCCTTGGTTATATATAGGGGGCATGTGCTTTGGCATACTGTTCCCGCAGATGTCTGCTCTGAAGTCCTTTGAAGAGGCCCAGCAGGAACAAACATCTGAGCAGTGAGAGCACATTGGAAGGCATGGCGGGCACATTAAGCTTGGGTTCAATTTCCTTAGCAAACGCCTTCATTATCTGTTCAAAGACGAGTTGCAGATCGCTAAACACCTTTTCTGCTACAGTGTGGGGCAGTTGCAGTTCTTGGTTACATTTAAAAAAAAGTTCCAGATTGCGCCTCAGACTTCTCCTAAAAAATCCAGGAACTCTTCGTTGCTTTTTGGTGAAGCACCCATTGTGTCCGTGTCAGGAGCTTCTGCGATGTCAGCATCACTCTCATCGTCTCGAAAGTTTTAAGTGTCCTGATCTGTCCTTTCGATACTTAAGTTGCTTCCATTCTCACGCAGCAGTTGCTTGTGACATCGATAAATATAAGTTCGGTATGATGAGAACAGCTTGTAGCTGCTCGGGGGTATTCGTCGATTCCACACACAGTTGAGAAGATTGGAGAGGAGAGACAATTAAAGCACCTTCAGGCTTCCTAAACAGTGCTGGCAGACCTGCTGTATCCTGCGAATTACCAGATCCTGGTAGCACGCAT